GAACTATGGCTTTAGGATTATGGTATCCAGCAAATACTGGATTTTTCATTCAAGCATTTTCAGATGCGGATTTATAGTATGTCAAATGGATAGGAAGAGTACAACAAGTAGATGTAAATTTCTGGATAGGATGTTTGTGAGTTGGCAGTCGAACCAGTAGAAAAGTGTATTGATAACAACAACGGAATATGAGTATACTTCTACTGCTGCTAGTACTTCATAAGTGATCTAGACTCAAAGTCAATTACGTGACTATGTGACTGACATGAAGAAAATTCCTTTATTTTGTGATTTTCAAAGTGCAGCTTGCATTTTTCATAATCCACTTCAACATTCTAAAACAAAAACATGTTGCACTTCGATACCATTTCATCAAAGATCATGTAGAGGATGGCAATATTGAAGTTCATTTTGTTAAAACTACAGATCAATTGCCAGACATGTTCACAAAACCACTTGTTAAAAAATCTTTTCTTAGAGTCTTAAATGGATTAACAATGATGGGAGCTTGTCATGTTCCAACTTCTAAATAATTTTTCTTTTCTTTGAAAATTGAAGGTTTGCACTAGACTTCACTATTGATAATACCTCATTCAGAAATTATTGTTCTTGTTTACATATAACATCCCAAAAACCACAGCAAAAGATATTTGATTTTTAAAACCCTTTGATAATCCATAAACCATATGAAAACATTGTTTCAAGAACACAGTCAAAATCAGAGTATCCTAAAATCATCATTCAACAAAATATCCAAGGATGATGTGCATAATCGCGCCTTCGCTTTGCCCCGATCATCTGATGTACTTGAAACCATGAAATTAAACTGTAAAAACGGAGCTTACTGAGTTCCCCTAAAAATAACACCACACAACATAAGATATACAATCAAGCATGATGGGTCCAACAAGCTTAATCCATTTTCTTCTGATTCCAAGAGTTCCAAAGCTCAAATATAATCTTTTCAAGCTCTTAATGGATAAAGTTTCTAACTTTATCCATTAGGAGGCTCCAAAACCACCAAGATCTAGACCTTAAATCTCAAAGGGGCCCAAAATGCATATTCCTTTACTTAATCTATTAAGTCTAAGTCTCCAACCTTCAGATCTACACGAACATGATGTTTAGATGGAGAAATTTTTTATCTTTACCCTTAATAATGCCATAATCAATGAAGATCTAAACTTTAACACATCAAAATTGCCTAAAGGACCAAGATAACTTGCATGGCTACAAGGGTAGGCAAAAGATCATAACTTTCTGGTCCAAGAGGTCCAAGATAACATGCATGGCTATGGTTTCTTCCAAGAGGTTCTCGATATGACGGATGCTAAGAAATACCCTAAAACATGAATCCTTAGCTTTAAATACCTTGAAAACCCTAAAAATATCATTGGCTTTAGGCTGCATAGTTCTCATGTCGAGTGAGCATGTATTCTCACATTGGGAAGACTATCACGTTGTAAGAATTACTTCTCACCCCATGGGAACAGGATTTCACCCAATTTCACTCCGACTTCAAACAATCATATCTTCTTCATTTCAACTCTGTTTTCGGCGTTCTTTATATGCACAAAAAAGTATTGGTGAGCCCCACAAGCCTATCTAATAACTTTTAACTTAATAAATGCCAAACTAAAAGCATAATCCATGCAATAAGACTAGAATATTGCTTTTCCCATTTTACCCTTTAATCGAAGGCTTTTATAACTAGTCCAACATTATCATCGTCCAATAAGGTCTAAACCCCATTCCCTTGAAGCACAAGGATTTTGATTGATCCATATATTGTCCACAGTCTCAAAATAAGAAATTTCTCGAAACATGATTTTACATCAGAGCTTCGATACTTGTCATTTTTGACATTTGCTCTTAAACATTCAACGATTGTTGCTTACAACTGAAGGAGTAGTGAAGGCCTAATGTGGTTTTAGCAAAGTAGTATTTAAGGCCTAATCAAGGCTCTTTCAAAATCTTTTCAAACGTATAATCGATGGTCTAGCGAAGGTATTGGTTCAATTTTCTTTATTTTCTGTTTTGTTGAAAAAATCAAAAATAGAAAAATATTTTCTTTATTTTTGTCTTTTATTTCTAAAATTACAAAATTCCAAAAAGATTTTATTTATTTTGTTTTAATTTTTCTTTATTTTGCTATCACATTGGATATTTCATTATCACATATGTTGTAAATAATCAAGCACAAGCAAAGCTCAAAGGGATCATGTATTATTCGATACTCATTGATTTGTTAAGTGTCCCTAGAAGCATGCTGCAACATGTTGTCCAAAGCCTCACTGACTCATTGTTTGAGAAGCTTTAATGAAAATTTTCTTCTAAAACTTTCTTCCTAATTGTTTGTATTAATAATTGTCCTCGAGCTACCTTTCTCTTCTCAATTTGAGTTGAGAGATAACTGTTTGGTCATATTTTTTTGTAGATGTACAATGAATTCTTTTATCCAATATTTTTCACCCCAAATTTCTTACACATTGCACACACCATGATGCATATCCCAAGAAAACTCTAGTAAAAAAACAACTAGGATGTAGGTGTGCCAAAAATTTGAGTTTATGATCTCAAATCATTTTTCCATGATGGAGTGAGACCCAACAAATGTTACCCTTTAAGGAAATGACAAAGAACGAATTTTTGTTCAAATTTTTACAAGGAATTGACGAATGAAACCTCATTTCTCAATGTGCCATTTCAAATGTTCAAAATCTAATTTTGATTTCTTATGTGTGGTCTTAATGAAATGTACTAATCCTAAGTTATTTCTTCCTAGTAAGATTCAACTCGTTATTTATTTGTTTGTTTGTTTATTTGAAATGAGATTTTTGTATGAACATTTACTTCAATCTTTAGTCACTTAAACTTTTACCAAAACTTACTTGATGTTGGTTACACTGGTTACTCAAGTATTTTCGTACAATGTTTTGCTTTTTGTTAATTTGCAAACTTTTTGGAAAGTTAAGCCTACCTTTGATACTTGTTAAAAGAGGCCATTTAATACTTCTCAATAAGTATTCGATTATAATTCACTGGAAAACACACAAACACTTTGATTTCTCTCTTGATATAGAAGGAAGAGTATCTTTTCCCAGGATCTTACTGCCTTTGTGTCAAATTTTTTTGATATCGGTCTTTATCTAATTTTTTTCTTATTTTGCTTCTATCTTTTCATTTGGAACACATTGGCACTGAAATCCTTAAGGTTTTGGGTATTAACAACCTATACCAAAATTTCAAAAAGTCTGGCTTATGATTTCATTTAAAATTCCCATAATTAGATGAGACCCAACCTTAACTATCGAAGACTGGTTCTTTGATATTATCGTAGCTTGGTGGCAATTCGATTTTATTGGTGATGATGAAGTGACCATTGGGAAGTGACATTACTGTTGCTTTATCTTGGAGTGAGAAAAAAAATTATTACCAAAACACTTGCAATATTGGGATAATGTCGCTTCAATTACGTAGTTTACATGTGGTTGTTATTCGTTGGGGTTTGGTTCAAATTTGAAGTTCACGCCAGTTATAAAAGACGATTCAGTGGGTTAATTCAATCTTTCTGATTTCCTGAATTCACCCAATAAGCCTAATCCTATTTTCTGATCATCATAAAAAAAATTCTTAATCATCATGTCTACCGCTAATATCGTTGTTGATCACTTCAACACAACTGGCGATGATGTTTCTCGTCCGCATATGAAGATTAAATCAAACAATGTTTAGTTTAATCCGTTGTTAGTAGCGTCCCTTAAGAGTTGAATATGCTCGTTCAATGTTTGAACGATTCAATTCTTGCTCATGATTTGATAGCTTCTTTTGCAATTGTGATGAACTAGTTATTTCTAGCACGTTCTATGATGGTATATAACAAGACGATTGAAGTTATAACGCTTCAAATGGAATCTAAAGGCAAAAACAAAATTCTAGAAAAAGCAGTTTGCTCAAATTTTACAATTACCTTCTGATGGTCCATTTGAAGTTCCTACATCTGAACTGGTACTTCAAATGTTTATTAAAATGGGATATCAACCTTAAATTTCTCTTGGTAGAAGCTTTAAGAAGTCAAATCTTCGAAGCGGGTGTAATTTTTTCTTTGGTGTTACTCTTTGTTGGCTAACTGGAAGGAATAGTTTGACAAGGAAAAACTTCAATTTTATTCTGTTATGGCTAGTTTGTAGTATATATGTGAAATTATATTATGCTTCGTTATTATGGGAAGAGTTCACAATGTATATCAAGCAGTCGAAAAAGACTACAAAGATTTCTAGTGCTTGTTTTTAGAGTCTATTTTTGGATGGAGCATATAGTCAAGTAGAAATTTTGGTTCCTGAAGGTGTTGAGGTTACTCAGTTCTCACATCTTAATATTCCTGAGGCCGCAATTGATGATCCTATGGTAATTCCTGTTGTTGGAAGGATTCCAAATGCTATTATGTGTCTGATTCGAATACGTTATTGATTCAATACAAAGGCTCTTTGAATCTTACATGTTCTGCTTCTATTCCTAAGAAGGTGACATTTAAGGTGTCAGAGGAACAACTAAAGATCCACACATTATTACTATGAAAAAAGAAAACATTATTGAAGTCAAGTGTTTCTGAGAAGGTAGAAAAAGGTGGTTCTGAGAAGATTGTTAAAGATGTTTCTGAGAAATTTATTATAAGTGTTCTGAAGACATTTTTCAATAAATTGAAGAAGTTTAAGTTGAAGCATAAATGACAAGGTGTTGTTATTAAGGAGATTACTAATGAAGTGGTTCAAGAAACAAAGAAACGAAAGGTTATAGGCTTATTTAAGCGATTCAAGAAGTTACGATCTCAAACAAATGAAGACCCTTCAACTACAATGAAGCCTATGAACGAAGATGAAGTTATTGTTGCGACAGACAATGAAGACACATACATTGATAATGTCATAAGTAATGTTTCACCATGAAAGGTTGCCACTTTTGAAACAAATATATTGGAGACAAGCAATTTGTATGTCACTATGCACACATTTAGTATAGATACAAACATCAACACTGGTGCACCAACCTCAACATCGATTCCTAATTCGACCACTATCACTCCACCTGATGGTCCTATTTCCACATCCAATATGGAGGAGGGAAGATCTTCGAACATCAATGAGAGATTTAAAAATAAGGACTCAAATGTTACTATGGGTGAGGATGCTTTGACATATGTTCTAGACACTTCTACTATTCAACCACCACCACCTTCATCTCCACTACCAACTTCGACTATTACACCAAAACATTTCCAGTTGTTTTTCCTACATTTGCAGGTATCATCGGTGAGCCTATAACTTCTTTATTCTCTTCTATTTCATCGGATCAAGAGACGTCGAATACCGAAGAAGATGAACTGATTGAATTTGCTGAGCTAGAGTTTGATCCTGAAGATCACAATGTTGATGACAATGCAATCAAGTCAGGTAAGCAGTATATATTTTATAACTACAAACTCAACACTATACTTCACTTTTTGAATTATAATGCTAGGAATTCTTTTTTAATTGGATAAGAGATTGAGCTTTTATTAAAGTTTCAAGAGTCGAGGATGGAGAATTTGATAGATAATGATGTTACGAGTTTAGAAGACCGTCTTGCTGACGAAGCTAGTTCTTTCAAACATCAAGTTCAAGAATTACAGAATGTTTCTCATGAAAGCGAGATACTGTTTGAACAGATGGTAACTTCATCAAAGTATTCAATTATTTTAAAATTTCAAGAACTGACTGGCTTGTTTACAAAAGAAGTTAAAAGTTGAATATTTTTTGTGATGGTGTGAAGAAAAATATAGATGTCCTTCTGGGTGCCACAAAAACTTTGGTTGAAGACGTTTGTGCTCTTAACAAAGATTATGCCAAAGGAGTAAATTCAAAGAAAGAATCTGATGGGAAGGTTTTTATAAACATTGAGAGCTCTCTTACAAGTTTTGATGATCGTTTTTATCGAAGTTTTATATGTCATCAACAACTTCAATTTCTCAAGAATAAATATCTTCTATGGCTTCTTTAGTAGGATCATGTTTTAAAACTGAACTTGCTCTTATCTTAGATCTTGTTCTTCGATTACCCACTAATGCTCCATGCCCATCAATGATCGTGTCACGAGGGGGAGATAAGTGTGGTTCATCGAAAAATGGAGCTGAAGACAAATCAAAAGTAGTTGGGAAGGTATTTTCTACTAAAATATCAATTCCGGTTTCAAAGAAACCTATTATCACAACTTTGAAAACAATTGCTACTTCAAATGTCGAAATTGATATGTCAAAGCTTCAATCGAAGAAGTGGCTAGATTTAAATGAAGGAGGATTAGATTCTTCAAATGTCAAAACTGTTGAATCTTCTAAACCAAAATGGAAGGGAAAAGGGGTTCAAGTGGAGCCTACTAAAGAAGATAAAAAGAAACTTCAAGAGCTTGAAATGAAAAAAATGAAGCAACTTAACAACATTATGAGAATGAGAGCGAATGACCCACCTGGTCTTAACAAAGGAGATGCAAATAAGGTGTGGTGTTACATAACAATTGATAATAAAAGACCAAGGAGAATCTATGTCATCGAATTTCACGGATTTCAATCAATCGGATTTTCCATTCAATCATTGCATATTCACATTTGCTCAGTTTAAGCTTGCTGAAAAATTTCACGATACAGAGGAGTTTAAAAGTATGAAAATTTGTTTTCATGTTGTGCTTGGAAACAAAGAATAAGATGTTTGGTCTTTGGTGAAGATAGTTAAGTTTTTATCGATAACTCCTGATGTGGTGTTCAAAGGAGCTCTTCAAAACTATCGATTTATAGTTGTCAGGGCTAACATTGTTCTTTTTAACTTCACCATCGATGACTTCCTTTTGATGAATTTGAATCATCTCAATACTGTTATGAAGATGATGGGATATATGAATAATGAGAAAGTTCAATACAAAGTTGAACATCATTGGGTATAGTCACATCCAAAGCTTCTTAGAGGGTTATTTTTCTCACTTAGCATTAATAGAATTTGATTTTGCTACTGAATTCAACAAAAATTCAAAGGTTCTCAAGTCATTGCTAAAAGGGAAATGAACATTGAGGATTTTGAAGATGGTTATATCATCAATCAATCTTTGGGAGTTGTCTTTCAAGGAGATAATATGAAACGTGGGAAAATAAATTCTTCTTCTGTACTGATGATGTAGAAAGATATTGAAATAAGAATATTTCCAGTGTTCTTATTCATATCAACAATTGCAAGAAAAAAAAGACAAATGAAGATAGATTGGAGATTAGGAAGATCATCGTGTGGTACACGGAGATCAGAAGAGTTTTGTTGCAAGTGATAAAGACAATATCCACTATTTGAATATTTGATATTGATGAATAAAGGGAGGATTTTAGAGTAATGTTTGTTGTGATATATCGAAGTCTTAGGTAGTTGTCTAATTAGCAAAGAGTTTTTTGATATTGAAGGTCTTCTTTGACATCGATAGTGTATGTATTTTATCAGGAAAATTTGTAGTTTCTCTTATAACTTTGAAGTCTTGATATTCATTTTGTAATCGTCGAGTACACTATAACTAGTGTAGGTACCTAAGTCATTTGATAACTTGTGAAACTTAATCATTGTGCATATTCTCTCTCAAATGTACTTGTACTAATTTCGGATAATATGAGCTAAATCAATATCTTATTTACATTTTGTGCTTATATTAACTCTGATTTCTTATACTATTGATTAAAAACATCTTTATAGCAACGGACGTCGTCCTGTCCATGACCCAACAGTGGTCACCAATACGAACTTAATTAACAATCTATACGCAAACGTACTTTTGGATTTTGGTGTCAATAGATGTGACAACCCAAAAATTTCTAGCTTACATTCTTCATTTCTTATCAAAGTTAAACTCGTTTTTGCTATTTTCTAGCATTGTTTGGAGTCAAATAGAGTCTTTGAAGCCTAGTATAAGCAGGGTAGGAGTCGTGGGATAAGTATTGTGGGTGTATCGCCTAGCATTTGTGCCAATCACACCAACACAAGGTGTGTGCGAATAGAGTGTTTGAAGCCTAGTATAAGCAGGGTAGGAGTTGTGGGATAAGTATTATGGGTGTATCGCCTTGCATTTGTGCCAATCACACCAACACAAGGTGTGTGCGGCCGCACACAAGAGTGTGCATCCACACACCCATCCCAACCGCACACTCACCCTATATATAGAACACTTAGCCATTTGGAACATTTTCTACACTTCCACAAAGCTAGGACCCGAAAAGCCTCTCAAGTATCATCAAAATCTCCTTGAGGATCTTCATAAAAGGTAACATCTTACACCAAGAACACCAAGAACACTAGGTGTACGGCCGCACACCCAACTACACACACCATGTATGGCCGCACACACACATATGGTGTGTATTTTGACCATACACTCCTTTGTAAAGCCATATACCCCCTTCATACAATCATATATGGTTGTAACACTTCAATATCAATGTTTACTAGTCCCTAAGGTGGTCCCAATTCAATAATTAGTTGCTTTAAACACTAATTTTATTCATATATGTATCATTATATGTTAAATAGGATTTGCGTGTGTGTTCAAGCCTTCACTTGACACCTATCATCCTATACAATATGTTCATCCAAACCACTCACTATAGGTGCGTTCATACCCCTTCATTAACCGTTTAAATGTTTTTAAATGCTTTTATGGGGGGGGGGGGATACAAGTTGAATACTTATAGTTATTATATCAATCATATGTGATTAATAACTACCAAACTAGTGGATTCTTACTGTTCAAACTGTTTACCAAACTACTTTGCTTCAAAACTGTTTTACAAACTCTTTTACTTGTCAGATACTTTACTTAAACTCTTTTACACTAATATTAGGTGTATCTACATAGATATAGTTATATAAGTAGGACTGAAAGGACTTAGGATTGCTAGCCTACCCTGCTTCCTGTTCCTTGTTTGGTTGTGGACTTAGGGTATCAAGGTTAGTTGTCTGAAGGTCGTTTGAATCCTAGTTATATATTATGTATATGTATATAGATATAAAAGGTTATTTCCTTCATAACCATTCCATGCCCTTGGGTAGCAAGGGTATTCAAACATGATCATACATTGCTAGCAAGCTACTATAGGAGTAGTTTAGAATGATACTAATACTAGTACTAGAACAATGAAACATACAATGAGTCAGTTCATACAAGAGTCAAAGGATACAATGCCCTTAGGTAGCAAGGGTATACAAACATGTTAACACTATGATGAGAAACAAACAAAAGGCACTATGACGAGAAACAAACATACAGGCTAGATAGAGAAAGAACACACAATACAACTAGCACACATATACATTACATATACATTAACACAGTTATGTGAGCCATTAAACAGGGCATGGCACTACTTGCCATGACTGTTTTTGTATCAGAATCTCCTTAATTGGGGAGTGTATGAGTTTGAGTATAGATCTATACTGGATTGACTATCGTACACCTTGCTGCTCGCTACAGTGGAACTTGAAAGTCTACGACTGTCAAACATCATTTTTATGGCATCTTACATTGTCGTTTGACTATTGAGTCGGTAGCAAGATACAGGCCGATCACAGGTTACCTTAAAATTTAGAATTATTTAAGGCAGTTAGTACAATAGTAGTTACTTAATACAACACTACTATACTATAAAATTTTCCATTACATTCACTTCGTGAGCATGCACACGATGCACGGTAATGTAAAAACTATATTTTTGGTTAATGATAGTCGGATTTGGGAAAATACACACTCTTTCAAGAGACACACATAGTCACTAGATGCTTTGGTAGAAGGCTACTTTTAGTAGGAAACATAGGGTTTTCTAGGATAGTTCAAACAAATACAAACTTTACAAAACTTATACATTACAAACATCTTACAAATGCTTTCATACAAACTGAGACACTAATATACTTATGATCTCACCAACTTTAAAGCTGAAACTCGCTTTCAAAATAACTTGTATTCTCAGGTCACCAGTAGACAGGTACCGGTGCCAGGTTTTTGAGAAGATGGAGCTTGTTCAAGACTCCTCTCCTATTTTGATGTAATTTTTGGTGTCTATTTAACTTGACAGAACACACTTGTATGAAATTATATTATTAATACAATGGATGATGTTGTTGCTTATTTACTACTTTTCATTGTTGTGATACTATACAAGACGTCCTCCACCCCCGAACGATTCCACCGTTCAGCTTTTTGCGGTGTGACGGATTGGTATAAGAGCTTTGTTTATAGTGAATTGAGTGTATCAACCCATAAAAGATATACGGACTATAAACACAAGCGGGATTAAAATACTCTAATTAAGAGTTTATACTTTTAAATAATAAAATATTTAACTAAGTATACATACCTGCATTCATACTAAAATCAGTGTCACTGGGAAGATGTAGCCTGATCAACTACATTATCTGAGGAATGACTAGCATGTGCCTAAGGATGGTTGTGAGGTTGCAACAAGTCTAAAAACGTACCAACACTACCATAATAAGAACAGTAGAACATAACATTAAACTTAAAATACTATAGGAGTATTTCGTGTTACTATAATTACTTATCTGAGAACTAAAGGTCTTTATCAGTATGCCAATGGTTGTCCAGTGGATACACTAAGGTTATATGTACCTAGGGTGTCATAGACTAAGAATATGTGAATCTTTGCTTTATTTCCTGTCCTCGTTTAGTTGTGGGCTTAGAGTTAGGATCACTTATTTGAAGGTCTATCATGTTCCAGAATACGTATAACTGGTATGCCCTAGACAAGTATTGGAGTAACTGATAAAGATCACCTTATAATTATCTAGTGTGTTCATCTATTAATTAATTCCTTACCCCTTTTCTCGCATAGATATCATGGTTGGGTTCCATCATCATGACGACCCGTACTTTCCACCCAATGCAAATGCTAGATGGCTTGAAGCAGAGTCCGATGATGAGCATCAAATCCCTTCGGATGATCATCAAGCAAAAGGCTTCTCGGATGGATCTGACTCCGAGCCCGAAGTCAACAACCTACCTCAAGTAGGTCAAGTCCTGAATAACAACCCCCGACCCGCATTTCGAGGATCCACACCTCTGTGGGCCACAAACTTGAATACATGGAGCCAGGAACAGGTTCAACCCATTCCCTACAATGGAGATAGAAGTTTCTACAACCTCACTGAGGGAGGTTCTGCTGACAGGGTCCTACCCGTCATGGTTCGTAGGGTTTCTCGGAACACGATACTGGGTCAATCTACTATCAATCAAGTCTTGGAGATTGATGCCAACTCTGGCGTTAACACTGTCCGCATTCGCCAACTAGAGTCTGCTCACAAAAGGGCTCTGGTTCACAATTCAGCTCTACGGAGGGAACTCACTGAAACCCGAGCTGAAGTCAGGGAACTTCGAACTCAGCAAGCAAGAACTGATAGGCGCATGAGGGACATAGAACGTCTCCTGTTGGGATCAAGAACTCACTCTGGTAGTTCTCGTCGCCGATAGATTCTCATTAACTTCTCTCTTTTGGATATAACCTAGTTATGTAAAACTCTGGTCTAATTCCCTATCTTTGTAAATCATAGGCCTGTTAGGTCCTGGGTAGGTTGTAATTCTGTCAAAATTTTCCCATTTTGGTTGATGTAAGGCCTCCTACTGTTGGTCGTTTTTCATGAACTTGTTACATCTGTAATTCCAGTAATATTGATAGGTACCTAATCTTATGGGAATTATTATCCAAATGTGATCATCTATTGGTTCTATATCTACATTCAATCGTATTGTTGGGCTATGATGAGTTAGTCCATGAGTCATTCTCATCAATTCTCCCATTAAATTCTTATCAATGTTTTCATCTTCATAAATTTTAGATCAAAGATGTCACCTCACAGAAATCCAAGGAGAAACCCTAATAACGAAACACCACCTCCTCTACC